TGCAATAGCCTGGAAGTGCTGCTTCCCAGCTGATCGGCAGAGTCTGGGTTCAAAAAAGCGCTAGATTAGCCCATGAGATGCGAGCGTACTTAGCCTGACGCACCTCGCCACGGGTGTGCTGTGCTGCGGGGAACCTGTAAGCACTAATGAAGCCCGTGGAACAAGGGGTTCCACTTAGGGTTGAAGTAGGGTGGTAAGACTCTGGTTGAACTCAGGGATTTCATGAATTTCGGGGATTAGCATGTTGGGGCCTAAGGCTAAGGGCTGTAGATGTTCAGGATTTTCATGGTTAGGGTCGTTTAGCCAGGAAACAAGGCACCCCAAGAAGGATCTGCAATTCAGGGATCATGTAAGACTTGCCTTAGGATTGGCTCCTGAACATCCTTTGGGAAAGCTGCCCAGGAGCACTAGGATTTACCACGGGCCCCTTATGACCCCAAGTTCGGAATCAATCTTTGAGAATCCGAAAACAGTCTCTTCCAAAAAGGTTAGGTTACCGGAATTGTGATTTCTGGCCGATGCACATCCTGACACTTTCCGGAGCCCTGCACCCCAAAAGCCATCAGAAGCCAAAAATTGACGGAATGACAAGTGAACAGCTTGAACAGTCGTAATATACATGCTATATATTTATATTTATATATATATACATATATATATATATATATGCATACATAATGCTATGCAACGCAGGCCCATTCTAGTTTATTAAGATCTCTCTATTCCGGCCTTCTGAACCCACTCCGTAGGCAGGTGGTGGTGGAGCAGACTTCTGACGCAGCTCCTGCGAAAGTGCTCGCCACGTGGCAAGTTGGGATTTAGGGTTTAGGGTTTAGGGTTTCAGTCAGGAGGCAACATCTCCTGCTCAAAAGCGTCGTTTCAAAGATGTTGTCCCTCATGCAGACAACTTTAGACTGCAGCTGCCTCTACAGACACAATCGAAGTTGTCCAAAACCCGACCTTTCAGCCACTGCGCTCTTCATGATTTACCAGGCACGGCTCTGGCACACTTTGGCCTTCATTCCTGCAGGTATCGGCCCGGGGCTCCTGAACTAGACTCCAGAGGGTCCTGCAACAGAAAGCATCCTACTTGTAAAACTCCTTTTTGTTTAAATGGGAGTTTCCGAAAATTGGGGGTACCTTATTTTGGGGGTCCTTATAATAAGGATCCTACTATACTAGGGTACTATATTAGGGTTCCCCATTTTCGGAAACCCCCAAATACTAGTCAAGCCGAAGCTCTCCGAGAACTCTCCAAGGCACTCAAGTTGGAAAATGGCCTCCCAGCGACTGCCCGGGACGAGCAGTTGCTCCTGGACTTCTTTGAGGATCCGAATGCTTACGGCTCCTTAGCAGCCCCAAGTATTCTCTTGGTTTAGGGGGTTGGGATTCAGGCTCAGAAACACGTCCGGCAGCTTGTTTACGCAAAGTGTGTTTGCGACATCTTCCTTCGCGCATCACTCTGGGTAGGTTTTGCCGGGCTTTATTCGGCAAGGAAGGCCACTACACTGCACACGAAATCTGCTCGTGCTTTGCCACACTTCCGTTTTCCATGCTGCAGTCGGGGAACCGAAGTAAACTAAATGGGACGGCAGTATGACCTCTCGAAGTTCCTATCATGATCGTCGAGCTACGAGCGCGATAAACCCTAAGAGCAGACCCCGGTCTGGGACCCCCTTGGAACCTCATGGGGGTTTCCGAAAATAGGGGACCCTATTATAGTACCCTAAATAGTAGGATCCTTATTATAAAGACCCCCAAATAAGGTGCCCCTAATTTTCGGAAACTCCCTCATCTCAGAGCCGCGAAACTCGAAGCTTCCTTGGCAAGGCGTGACGATGCGGTGATGGGCCTTGATGAGGATATGGGTGGTTGTCAAAATTATGGTCCCTTTTTGGGTCCGTAATATAATACGGCACCTAATATTTAGGGTATCCAAAAAGGGACCCTAATTTTGACAACCACCCATATCCATCGGCAGGGTCTAGGCTTTGGGCCGTGTAGGGCTCAGATAGACCGCAACCCGCGGCGGAGGAGAAATAAATCTTCAGCACATGCCAGTGGCTGCTCTTTGCAGGGTCAAAAACGACTAGTTTGCATGGCCTACATTTGCGGCGTATACATTTTTGACATATATACATGTGCACTTTACAGTTGTCGATCTATCTGTCTGTCTGTCTATTTATTTATCCATTATACTGACAAGCGTCTCTCTCAATCTCCAACGACCAAAGACTGTCGAGGACATCTTACAACAGTGGATGGGCAGGGCTTCCTCGCTAGGGATTTATAGAAAGTGTCGCAACGGAGGACTGAGCGGCTTATGTGATGCGCGAGAATTGGAGTCCATGTGCAAAAGCTGCGTTCACACATACCAGGTAGGCCACTGGCATATTACATGCTTCTCCCTTATAACTTGTGTTCACTGAGGTCTACCTATGGTCTCCATTGTCGTTCCTTTTTGGGGATACCTTATAAGATCCTTAGTATATATTTGGTTTAACCAAAAAAAGGAACTACAATGGAGACTATAGGTAAGCTCGTTTTATGTCAGAGGCCTGGAGGGTCGATCACGCCCATCTCTGTGTTCTTGTTTTGCATGCTCTCCCGAGCTTCTGTCGCTGAAGGGTTCCGTGACTGCTAGGGCGGGCTTGCACCCAGAGAGCCCCCGTATCACCATATAAGGCTTGATCTTGTGATGTACATGGTGGAGGCAAAAATCATGTAAGATAAATATTAATACCTAGTGGGTACTGGACACTCGCTGCCTTTGGGTTGCACAAATGTGGCACATTATATGGGTTGCTAAGTCTCGGGGCCCGGCCTTCCCACAACGCCTTACAAAGCCCTCCCGAGCCTTCATAAGACGAGCCTGAGTAAAACGCAACAAGCACCTCCCACCCTTGACTTTGTGTGCAGGCGATGCTTGACATCCAAACCTGGCAGGCCTTCGGGGAGGTATAGATCCCCCAAAAGCTTCTTAAGGTTCTTTGCAGCTTGAGAATGCTTGAGGTTTGAGGGTGTGCAGATGTCTTCGGGATTGGCGCTTGGTGAAGGTGGTGGCCTTTGATTGGCTAGATTTGTCCATCACGGGCGTTCGGTGCTACGGACCGAAGCAGTGGCAATGAGCAATGCCCATTAGCGGACACGGACGATGGCTCGTAGCCCGGTAGAGCGATATCTAACAGAGCGGCATATTGAAAGCCGGAGGCATGCAGTCCGTATCTTGAAAGAGAAGTCAATCAGAGCAACACCAAGTTCTCCCACGCAAGCACACTGAGTAAAACATGTAACAGACTGAACACTACAGGGGGCACGCAAATTCAAACAAAGGATGTTGCGAAGTAGAGCTGGCATCAGCCAGCAATTCCAGCGGGTTGAATAGTCATTATCTTTTGTCGCCTTTGTTCGTGAGCATGTGTGTGTGTGTGCATCCTCTGTATATACAGTAGTATGTGTATGTATATATTCATATATATATATATGTATTTATGCCATGTGGGAGCCAAAAAAAATATGTATTTATGTATAGGCTTGCCAACAATGGGCTTTGTTTTTCAGGGCTCCGTACGAGAATCTGCTTCGGTTAGACGCATGTTGAGGTGCTCCATGGGTTGTCTTACAAATCATAGGAAAGCCCTATAGGCCCTATAGGGTTTAGGGTTTAGGGTTTTAGGGCAAGGGAACAAGCAGGTGTGTGTGAAGATTTTTTGCAAAATTGAAGCGTGAAGATTTCAAGCTGTATTCAGATGTGGAGATAAATATCCGCCAGATAGTGTATAGAGAGATCTCAGTGTCGATTCTCGCCTTACAGTGCGCGAGTGTGCTGGGGACCGGGCTGCTGTGTACGAGGCCTGCTGTAAAAAGGGTTTTAGGGCAGAGTCCTTGGTCCTGCGCTCAGTGGGGTGCTGGCATTCATCAAGTCCAGATGTAAAAAAGGGTTTTAGGGTTTTAGGGTTGAGGGTTTAGGGTTTTAACGTTTAGGGTTTTAGCGTTTAGGGTGCAGGGTTTTAGGGTTACCCTAAACCCAGTAGCATCTGTATCACACCGACCTGTGACTATGGAACTCTGCCTGGCTTGTCCGAGTTCAGAGGCGAAGAAAGGCGACCTGGGCAAGCGTCGACCCAGCGTGACGATCACCAGCGTGCCGGTTAAGGACTTCGGTTTGGGCTTTGTTTTAGACCGGCCCTGCAGGTTCAGTATGTCCGTCCAGGGTTGATGCATCGTGCTAGCCCACCAGGGCAGGGGTACTTCCCCTTCGATCATGCGGTCGGAGCAGAGTCCACACCGTTCTATGCCAGAACTCCTTGGGTCACTAGATGCCCTTGGTCATTCCAGTATCCCTGAACCCAGAGTCCTAAACCCCGCCACACACACCCTATGGCTGAAAGCCCGAAATTCGTATACCCAAAATGCATCGACATTCCTGAACCGTGGACTGTGGGAGGGGCACATCACAGGAGTCCACACCGACACCGAGGGAGGAGAGTTTGGCCATGCCGTGGGTCAAGGCGCAGCCAGGGTTTGGGGACTTCTACGATCCATGTGGGTGGTTGTCAAAATTATGGTCCCTTTTTGGGTCCTTATTATAATACGGCACCTATTATTTAGGGTACCCCAAAAGGGACCCTAATTTTGACAACCACCCATGTCTATGTCTAGGGATGTCGTGTTCAGAGTTTACGGCTGCGTTGTCTGAGGTGTGGCGTAAGTCGATATCTCGTGGTTGGGGAGCTTTTTGCTTCGGCTTTTCCCTTGCCTCATCTCTTGCATCTTGAACCACCTCGACCCGATCGTTGTTGCATCTAGGTTCACATGGGTAGGTTTCTAAATTAGGGTCCCTTTTTGGGTCCTTATTATAGTACGGCACCTATTATTTAGGTACCCCAAAAAGGACCATAATTTTGACAACTACCCACATCTATCCTCGGCATTTCTCATCTTGAGGAACGAACGCGCCGGGCCTGAAGGGAACGGGAGCAAAGGTTTTTTCCCAGGATCACACCGAAACAAAGTCGTCTCTCCTGGGCCAGGAGTGGAACAGCAGCTTCAGGATAATAGGGTTTAGGGTTTAGGGTCAGGATAGTAGGGTATGGGATAGGAGAACACAATTAATACACCCCATCACAGGAGTGCGTGTCGACGCCGAGGGAGGAGAAGGTGACGCTGCCCTTGGTCAAGGTGCCGTTTTGCCACAGCGCAGTGCCGCGGAATGCCTTTTTGCTTCAGATGAAGCTTACCTATAGTCTCCATTGTAGTTCCTTATTTTGGTTGAACCAAATATATATTCAGGATTTTATGAGGTATCCCCAAAAAAGGAACGACAATGGAGACTATAGGTAAACTCTTATTCTGCGGATGAAGCGGTGGATATGAAGAGTTGTTTGGATCCTTCCCGATCCATGGGTCAAAGTCGACTGTTACTTTTCCAGGTCTGGTCTTCATCGCTTGAGCACGACCCCCCCCCCCCGACAAGTTCAAAGACAGAGCCCCATGCCAGAACTATACCATACTATGGACCATATTGAGATTTTTATACCATATAATACATATTTTAGAATGTTATACTGTAGTATTCGCCATCATCATTGCCTGGAGAGTCCGAGCTGCGAGAGTCTCGAGCCAACAGACACGAGAAGGTCAGCAGAGTCGGCATGCACCGATCTGCCCCACGACCCTAAACCCCCTGACTCCTAATGTAGACTCTTGGCCCAAACTCCTTAAACCTATATATATATAAACAGATAGCACCCCCCTCTCCGTTGGTTTCCGGGCCTCCAATGGATTTGGGCTTTCTGTAGGGCACGCCCACCACCCACCCCGATTTCCGGCCTCCCCTCCCAGCCCCTCCCAGCCCCTCCC